AAAACATTTAGTGGAAATCAGGGCTCTTGGGTTATATCGAGTTCTGAAAACTATGTGGAAGTGATGATCCGGCACTACTCTTGGGCACGCAATAAAGGAGATACGGCAGATTTCACCTGTATTGACAGCTAGAATAATTTGAAATTCACACGTTTCAAGCATTTTTAAATTAAAGCTTCTAAGATGTATCTTGCATGTTAAGACACGTTGCGTCCACGGGTGACTTAATTTGGGTTCTTGGATAAGTATCAGTGGAAGCCCTCGCCTATCACCTCTCAACAATAAATTTTGTAAGATAAACTCGGCTCAGACCAACTCTCCAATTTAGATTTCGAATCTGGTTGATAATAAGAAAAAAATATCGTAAGTAAAACACTGAGGGCAGAGATGAAGTTCGAAATCTGAGTAAAACCTTAGAGGCTGTAATTTTTTTACGTCTTAAATAACGGTTAGTAATGCCGGATAAAAACTAAAAACCCTGTCCTGTAATTATTTCCAAATAATTCAAGAATCATGAGATGCTTTACAGTTTTTTCTCATAATGATCGCCTTCGAAACATTTAGAAGATCAACCACATCAGAGCGATATCGCTCTTTCCTTTTGTCTGGTACCTATTTTGACCCTATGAAGTATGAATCATTATGTATGCATTTAGTTTCTGAATTTCCAGGAGGTTTTGGCACGACGAGTTCAGAACCAAAAGAGTGCATATAACTTGAATGATCGAAATCGATAATTATGGCAAATACTCACTGGCAAAGTTAGGATAAACCAGTCTACTTATTGCTAAGAGAGTAAATCGACTACACCTAACCCGCTAAACAAGTAAAAGGAGTTATCTTTGTAGATATATCAAAATCCCCGAAAAGGATAGGATAGGGTATGCTCAAAAGTGACCGGATTGGAGTGCCAATTGGGCCACTTGAATTCAATTGTGTCAAGATGGCAGACAATGAACATAAAGACTGACCTTGGCCATTAAGTGTAGGGTGTCATTCGGTTGTTCAGATGAGTGGAGGTGGAACTGAAGTGAGAAAGACATAGCGTTCGTGGTATGAGAAAGCCCATAATTTTGCTATATTAATTTTTTCAATTATGCTTTCCCGTCCTCATCTCTATTATTACAACATCCTTAATGTTGTTTTGTTCCACTTGTACATTTCGTCTGAACTATGAAAGTTGGAATGCACCTACTGTTGCAAATGTGTGAATTAATTTAGCATGTTGATTACTTTCTAAACTATACAGTTCGTCATAAAGTTTTAAGTATAAAGTTGAAATGAAATTAACCTTTTGAAAATCATCGTCTAGAAGTTGAACTGAGGCTCCTGAAAACAGTCAGCTCTAGTGAAATGATTAGGAACAGTATTCCTAAACTCGAAACCTTTTATCGTCACTTTATGAAGACGTCACGCGATGTTTCCGCCAAGTATCCGCCAAGTATCCGCCCACTGATCTAAAAAGGTACGAACGAAGTATTTGTCTACGTATCGTATCTGTGGTTCCTTATAACTCATAAAAGCTCAGTCTTATCATATGCTGATGCTTAAACCACATACCCTTCAAGTAAAGTCTGACGCGGATGAATTGAGGCTAGCTGTGGCTAATATGATGATGAAATAGTATTTACAACTTAAGGCAAGCAGGATCAGAGATACGAATTCAGATTCGAAGAGAAATAATATTTATAACAAGCTCTGCTTGACTCTGGGAACACGAGTTGCAACGAAGGCCTTCGAGGGTAACATTTTGATGTTTTCGTGTCGATCTAAGCGCATGTTTACAAGATTATGAGAGGCCAGCAAGCCGCAATAGCCCCCAAACATTAATCGGAAAGGCTGAAATGAAAAGTGGACAAAAAATGAAACTTTTTTGGAGCCCAGAAGTCTAATAATTTAAAGCACATCATTAACTGTTCATCGCAGTTTACCCACGAGGACTCATAATGCCAAAATGCGTGCACTAGGTTAAGGTAAAGTTACCCGATTATTCATCTGTTCGCCTTTTATCATTATCGCGATAACTATGCGAAAATTAGAGTCGCAATCGACATCGTCTTCTATTCTGCCAAAACGCGTACACTAGGTAACTTTAACCTTAGGAGCAATTGAAGGTATATCCGAACAGACACTTATTTGGCTGTATCGTATCGTCTTCTTAGATCCAAGAATCACTCTTCACTTAACAGAATCGTACTTCAACATGCTTGACCCGAGCTCTAGAAAATGTTGAGGAAAGATGCATTGATTCTCATGCTGAGTAATGTAGGCTTTTGTTAAGCTTAGTTTAATAGGTATACGGCTTTGTTGTCAACTTTTCCGCTTCGCTGATACTTACTCATCATCGTAAGGGGGTAATGGTACCAACTTTAGAAAACGGCCATGATCACATGTCATTAATGTATATGATTGACAGGCTAGATTTCTTATCTAAACTTAGCAAGTCACTCGTACATGTCGCAGCTAAGCTAATACGAAAAAGTGGTTTAAGACACATTAGGCTTTAACGCATGTGTTAGAGCAATTTCATCGTAGCTAAAACATCATTGTCAATATGACATCGCAATTATTTGAGTTAGATCACGAAATAACTTTATCTTTCCAGCAGAAAAAGCTCACATATTGCGAGTAGCGGGATGAACATAAGATAAAAGTAGAAGCACAACTATCAAACATTAAATATCACTTGACCACACCAGCAATTATGGGTAATACCTCTCTTAGATTTGAAACCTTGCCGAATGGGGCGTCATTCAATCATTTCTCCCAGGACAATCTTTATCGCTTACTTGACCTCATCGAATTTAGCAAATGGTCAGGGTAGTCAAGAGTAATTTCGAGAATTACTCATAAAAACCTATTGGGTTGGAAAGTAGTGAACATCAAAATTGTTGAACGAGTAGCTTTATAGTGTGGCCCATCTATAATTACGATCTCATTACTTGCAGTAGATCTCAAGTGCGTCACGCTATCAACGTTAGAGAATGTCACACTTACATAACTGAAGCGCTCTATATCATTTTGTAAGTGGCTTAGCGCGCTAGATGCTAACCTCGTCAATATTATTGATGAAGTTGGCATATGTGACATCGTTCTACTGACAATTATGCATTTGGCTCAATGCTAAGAAAACAAAGTGCTTATCTATACTCAAGAGAGAGTATACAATTTACTGAGATTTCCGTTGCAGGCAATCGTTTGTTAAGATATTCATTTTAAATGGAAACTGTTACGAATTGATCTAAATTTGACGCTAAGAGTTAAACTGCACTAAATATTAGGGCAAGAGAGAATGAAATAGAGCTAACATCCTTGACCTGTGCTTGTCACACTAGTGAGACAAAGTCCGAGATAAACTTCTTACTCAAATGAGCTACTTCACTTAACTGTTGGCGACCCAAATCATACTTGTATTACATTGATGAAACTCCAAATCTATCAAAA